TAAAATATCTGACTCGAGAGTATTAATCTATAACGTTGTTTCATTGAACAGATTACGTACTGCGCTGTATTCTATATTCATAGACCATGGTGAACATGGTCAACAAACCCAAAACAACATTGAAAGCCACTGGAGTCTAAATCGTTTGAAACACAGGCCCGAGACCGTACCAGCTGGCGTTGTTACCTCACAATCGGAACTAAAATCTTCGTAGCCACCAGAAATTGACCCATTGCCCGTTCCTTGCTTTTCCAGAATTGTCTTCAACTGTTCTCGATATTCAATCCACTCTTGCTGCATTTGTTGTAATAATTCCTGAATAATTATCTTCAATTCTTCCATAGTGTATTATTTTCGTACAAGTTGTCCTTCACTAGGAAGAAAAAGGTTTTTTTCCTAGTAGCAGTTTGCCAGACATCCTTGGAATTTATTGACTTCCGCGTTGTCCTATGAATATACACGAACTCGACAAAATTCTTTCCAGTGAATTTTGAATTCATGGGAATTCGAATCCTCGTCACCAGGTATGTCTTCATTCTATTGAATGAAGATAATATAATCATGAAATATAATGTTGGTTGTGAGTGAGGTAGTCTATACATATATAAAGATTAGTTGTCTGTATGTGTGTGTGTGTGTGTGTGTGGGGGTGTCCGGCTAAAACCAAAAAACTACAATAATTCGTGACAAAGTAAATAAGTATACAGGCTCACTATCATCCTAATCAGCTTTTTGTAAAAAAAGTATCATTGTTTGATTTGTATTTACGAAGATATTTTAGAATTAAAATGCATTAGAATGCATGCGAAATTTCTGAGGGAACTCAAGAGAGGAGATAAGACCTCCGAGAGGGAACAGATAGTACAACCGCACGGAAAACTCCCTTCTCCTCCTCTGCCAATCCCTCCAGAACAATGCAGAAGGAAAGCCCCACGCATCCGCCATGCCCGGGATTTATCTAAACTTCCCCACGAAGTAGGATGCGGTACAAGGCCAATTTTTGAGTGGAGCTAAACCGAGCCCGGATGCTCGGGCAAAATAAAATCCCGTAGATCCCATATACACGGGGTCGGATTTGTCTATCTCCGCAGACGAGACTCTGCCCTTTGGCATAGATTCGTCTGGGTTCCTTTCAGCCCGAAGACAGAGAGTTCGACAAGATCTAAGAGCTCCGTGAGCGGCTAGATCTCTGCTGACGATTCTTGGCGTCAGCATATATGCTATTTGGACGAATCCAAGTCATATTCTGGAGAGGTGTATTCATCTCCGCAATAGTACGTGACTGAAGTCGAGATGCAAGGTTAATACAGATAACATTACAAATTCTTCTTTGGATTTTGTCGACAGTCTCGAGATAGCAGCAACACTAAACCAAATAAGACAGCAATATTTAATGCGCGGACAAATGGTATAAATGCGCAAGATGGATTCTAACGAGAAAAATTGTCTGGCTCGACACAGTGATCCAAACTCCTTAACAGCCGACCAACAAACACAGCTGCTCTTGGTAAACCAAATTAAGATGCCATAAGCGTTGACCAACAATGATACATCCTTGGATCAACTCTCATAACAAAACCTGGATTTGCTATTTTTAATTTAGAAATATAATACATTCGTATCGCTAAATAGCTTCCTTTTTTTTTCTTTTTGTTTTAATCATTTCACGTCAAGCAAAGCAAATAAAGCCACTAAGACGCAGGGAGTTACCGAGTGTGAGAGAAAAACGAGAAAAAGAAAACATTATTAAGGAGAGAGAACAATAAAAGAAAAGGAATTAAAAACACAGAAGATAACGAATGATATTGCATTTAAATTTTGGAATATCAAAACATGAGACCGGAAAAGAGTTATATAAGCGAGAAGTACGAGAGAAGAAACTGTTAGCATAGGAACAGTTAACAGAGATGAGACCTAACCGCCAATCTAGTACTGCGCTTAAATTCATAAAGTCGAGGTGACAAAGAAGAAAGCTAACCAGAACAATTAGCATAAAAATATTCATAGAAAAAGCCAGGGAAGCTAGATTATGACGGTGGGAACGTAACTGAAGTTGAGATGCTAGCTCAGGACCAATAACATTTTAAATTCTTCATTGTATTTTATCTAGAATCTTTAACTACATAGCAGAAGCACCAGATCAGATGTGGCAGCAATATTCAAAGCAAAAATGAATGGTAGACTTATAAATATGTAAGATAGATTCTGGAGAGAAAATTGTCTAGCAGGACACAGTAAACCCACTTTCCTAGCAGTAGACATAGCAATTGATTCAATATAATTTTTTGTTTCATATCTTTTATGTTTCTCTTTATTAAAAGTAATCTAATTAACAGAAAATTCGGGAATTTACTTCACATAATCTATATTCTTCTATGTCGCGTGTCGCTTCAGAACGTGGATGATCACGATTCTCCACAACTTCCTGACCTTTGTAGCTCTTAGCAATAATTGCCTTTTTATTTTCTCTCCTAACCCCTGTTCTTTCAACCATTTATACAAGCTCGTTAAGTAGGTTAATCACTGCTTTCCTCAGTCCCTCTGGATTTAAATATGTTCCGTGAGTGTCAAATTCCCCAAGCCTTCATTCCTCATTATGTACCTTAAAAATTTCGGCTGTCTCTTTCTGATTCCAAGTATAAGTGTCCTTTTGGCTACCAATTCCTTAAAACTTCCTCATTGCTCACATGTTCAATATATTGTATTCTCAACATCCTTCTGTAGAATCACATTTCTGTTGCCTCGAGTCTTTTTTTCATGTGTGATGAGATTGTCTAACATTCACAGCCATATAGGAGGACCGATATTGCATAACAGTTGAGTCCTCTTTATTTCTAAAAAAAATTCCTGTTCCTCTGGCCTTCAGTAACTCCTGTGAATGTCAAATTCCCCAAACCTCTTTTCCTCATTATGTGACCGAGAAAATTTCAACTTCCTTTCTCTTTCTGATTCTAAGTCCTAAGTGTTCTTAATGTTTAAATTTTCCTTAAGACTTCGTCGTTGCTCACATGGTCAGTTTATGCCAGTGTTTCTCAACCTTTTTAAGCAACGAAACCCCCAGGAGTAAATGGAAGTATTATGACACACGAATTTTTAAAGGGTATACATTTAAATTTTATGAAGTACAACCATTTAAAAAAAAAAATACGCACACAGATATGAACTTACTTTATTTCAATGTTTCTATTCAACAATTTTTGCAGTTTATTTAGTGTGAAACCTGTGCCTGGTGTTTTTTTTTTTTTTTTTCGCAATTTCTTCGATATTTGGTCGAATGTATGATAAGCAGATCCACATTTCTTCTTCAGTTGAGCGTAGTCTTTCTCGCTTCTTATTTTTGATGTTATTTAGGGTTGAGAAGTCTAATTCACATAAGTAGAAAATTGCAATAAAACATATAAAGTCTTTTTAGTTAATGTGGGATATTCCTTTTGTATTGAAATCCAAAATGTATCAATGGATATGGAGAAATATTTCATTTTTAGCGCTCGATCACTAGAAATGATGGTCAATTATTCTTCTTCTTCTTCACATAACTGAATTCCAATATTAGAAGGAACATTTATGAAGATATTTCGAATCCAATCATACGTTTCTATACTCGAAGACGGAAAATAATAGTCGATGTTTTCCTCGAGCGCTAACCATAAGAGGGAGCATTTCTTTAATTCATTGAAGGAAACATATCAAAATTACCCGACGTTGCTCCGTTTTTCCAAATCAAAATTTTCAATTTTGAGGGCGACCAACAATTATATGAAAAAATGGTTAATATTCATTTATTCAAATAAAGGAAAATTTTAAAAAGTTAAATTAAAAAATAAAAGTACTTTTTAAAAACTGAATATTAAAAAAAGTATTTAAAATAACATAATCAAAGAATAGTGAAAATAATTATTTGGAAATAAAAAGTTAAATACTTATTCATTTATTCAAATACTAACGCTGTACCATTACTACACACGCACACACACACACACATATATATATATATATATATATATATATATGTATGTATGTATTAAGAAATGGACAAAGTCCGACAATTTATTTATTAAAGACATTATGTTTAACGTTCTTTTTATAGAATATTTTCTATGAAAATTTCTCGGACATTCAGGCCGGTACCGTTTATAAACAGAGCATTTACTTAAATACTTGTATCTATAAAAAAGAACGTTAAACATAAAAATGTCTTTAATATATATATATATGCCGTGACAATATTTCGTGGCAAACTTAAGAGGATCGTGCATCACACTAATGTATCGCGACAAGTCTATGCTCTTATACATGAAGTTGTATTGCAAGAGGTAGAATGGAGGCTGAAAGACAAAAACGGAATAAACTAAGACAATTTTGAACGTTCAGGAAGTTATGTAAATGCGTATAAAATAGTAATTTCCTTTTGGCAACGTGCCCTTTAAAAATTAAAATATAATGATCACGATTTTCTTAAGGCCCTCGAAAAATAGTAAACAAACAAAATAGGATATTTGTCACCAATTTTTACGCATTTTTGAGCTAGCCTATTAAGTTTCATTCTAAACATGCCAGTCACGAAAGCTTAAATACATTCAAAACAAAAACAAAAATAACTGTAGTGCTCCCTCTTCCCTATTCTATGCCTAAAGTACGTCTTTAGTTCGTTTGGTAGTTAATCCTTTCATCTTAGCTCAATGCTATTAATATATTTATTTAATAAATTAAATTAATATAATTAATTAAGTTAACTCTAATAAGTCCAAGTTGAGAAAGCTAGGCGGGACAAGAATATGTTTTCCACTAAATTTGGTTTCAAAATTATTTTTAAAATCGTAAATTTGTCCTCATTCGTCGCCGTTTTTATGCATGCCTCTCTGATTAACTTAAGCTTAAAGGAAACAGGAGATGGATGAATTATGAGAAATTTTGCTTTAAACATTTTACAGGGACAACAGAAATGTGAAAAATTAATTTCTTTTAAAAGTTTAACAATGCGTTTAATTTAAGATCTTATTTTAACATAGTAGTGTTTTAACAGCCGCTGGAAAATGTGAAGGGGAATTGGAAAAGAAAGAAAGAAAGAAAGAAAGAAAGAAAGAAAGAAAGAAAAGAAGAAAGAAAGAAAGGAAAGAAGAAAGAAAGATACTAAAAACAAAGAAAGGAGAAAACACACTAAGAAAAAGAAAGAAACACGTTAAGGAAAAGGACGAAAAGAAAAGAAAGAAACTAAAAAAAAGAAAGACACTAAAATAAATGAAGAAAGAAAAAAGAAATAAGCGTATTTAAAGGAAAAGGTAATAAAAATGAAAAACAATAAATATATGTTTATAAGTGCATCCATGTGTGTATGAGAGAAAGAAAAATAATGAATGAATTTCAAGCAAGAGATAATATAAGCGCATACATCTGTATTTGAGAAAGAAAGACAGAAAGACAGAAAAGAAAGAAAGAAAAAGAACGAAGGAAAGAAAGTACAGAAAAAAAGAAAGAAAGAAAGAAAAAAAGAAAGAAAGAAAGAAAGAAGGGAGGAAAGAAGGGAGGAAAGAAAAAGAAAAGAAAGAAAGAAAGCAAGCAAAAAGAAAAGAAAAAAAAAAGAAAGAAAAGAAAGAAAGAAAGAAAGAAAAAGAAACGGTAAAGGATAAAAAGAATGAGAACAAAGGAAAAAGAAAAAGATAAAAGAAAGAAAGAAAGAAAAACATTAAAAAAGCAAGAAAGAACGAAAGAAAGAAAGAAGGGAAAGAAGAAAGAAAGAACGAAAGAAAGAAAGAAGGGAAAGAAGAAAGAAAGAACGAAAGAAAGAAAGAAGGGAAAGAAGAAAGAAAGATACTAAAAACAAAGAAAGGAGAAAACACACTAAGAAAAAGAAAGAAACATGTTAAGGAAAAGGACGAAAAGAAAAGAAAGAAACTAAAAATAAAAAAAGAAAGAAAGAAAGAAAAAAGAAATAAGCGTATGTAACGGAAGAAATAATACAAATGAAAAAACAATGAAAAAGCAATGAGTGCATCCATGTGTGTGTGAGACGAAGAAAGAAAAAGTGTGAACGAATGAATGAATTTCAAGCAAGAGATAATATAAGCGCATACATCTGTATTTGAGAAAGAAAGAAAGAAAAGAAAGAAAGAAAGAAAAGAAAGAAAGAAAGAGTGAAAGAAAGAAAGAAAGAAAGAAAGTAGCCTCCCAAAAGTTAAACAAATTATTAAGAAACAGGAAAAAAAAATTTTGAAAGAAGAAATGAGTACTGAACTGATATATAATATCAATCTTATATATATATATATATATATATATATATATATATATATATATATATATATAAGTGAACATAGAAGTCAACATAGAGGCGACAGTCTGTTTCATGCTAGATGCAATCGTCAGGTCACCTGACGATTGTATCTAGCATGAAATAGACTGTCGCCTCTAACTGACCTGAGGATTGCATCAAACATGAAACAGACTGTCGCCTCTAAGTGTTGACTTCTATGTTCACTTTTATATTTATACACGCTCTATCTCTGATATTGATCACTTTATCCCATAAATATAGCAATCTTAAGACTATATGTCTTCATATATATATATATATATATATATATATATATATATATATATTGTCATCCGCAGACAGTTTCGCTGTATCACAACTCATCAGTGTAACTAGACACCCGATTGCTTCAAGCCGGGATCGAAACCCGACTGATTCGACAATTGTCGGAGATTTTCCCCTAAACTATCGGCGCAGGGTTGAAAGAAAGGTGAACTTTTATGTACTTATTCTGTGAATGATAAACATGCCAATGACTGACAGTGCTCAATTCGGGAAATATCATCCATTTTGTTTGTGACTGGGATTTAAACAGGTTATTTGTTCCCTCACCAAAACCAGTAACTAATTTGCTCTTATTTTCACTTACGCTTATACTCAAGGAAGGATAATACTGCAGTTTTGGGGTTTTATTTCACTCAAACATTATGTTTCGATATAAAAATAGTGTTTTTTCTTTCCATGGTGACAGTAACACATATTCCGAATCTATTCTTTTTGCTATACCCATTGAAAACGTAGAATATATATATATAGATATATCCTTCTGACGCTGCTTTCAAAAGTGGAATCCTTCATTTCCTATTGGTTTGAACATAAATCATCTATCACATTAATTGTTCAGACGACATGTCATGGCTTTATACTCCGTTCAGCAAAGAATACTTAGTCTCATTGTCTCTACCAAATAAGCAACGGGACACTTACTGAACATGCGTTGTGCTGAACACGTTCGTTGCATTGGGCGCGTTCCTCCCCCAAAATATACCACTTCTGAGTCTATTCGGAGAGCCCATAACTATTTCTAACCAACCACCATACCAGTACTTCTCTTGTCGTGTTTCTTCTGTCTGTGCCCTTAATGGGCGTCCCACGCTACCTCTCTCTTCCAAGATGTCTACAACCCCGACCAAGACTACAACCTACACATCTTGAAGATACTTGAGACATCATCACATAATTCTGGTTAAGAATGAAGACTAGAGAATTGTTCACGCAAAAACAAAAATATTCCAATCTTCCTTCGCCACACACACCCATACATAGGCGCACATATACACTTACCTATCTTTATCTTTGAGACGTCATCTGCGAAGTGAGATAAACGTACAGACATTACTGGTCCAATGATTTCAGACCATATTGGCACGCTACAATTGTTTCTGGGCCAAGCTAAGATGCACTTAGTAAACAAGCAAATGAAAACTGAAGTACCAAACATTAGAAACCAAAGTACAACGGATACTTTCGCTCTATCACGCCAGAAAAAAAAAAAAAAAACAAAACAAAAAAAGACAAATTTGATCGGCTAATGTATGCGTGACGTAATAGACAAAGATACTGTGGTCTTGTGCGTTCCACCATCACTGGGCATCCCACGATTATGCTAAGCGTAGTAAATATCTATATTTTCAATAAAATTTCCCTTCAAAACATAGACCATCATGGCTCTTCACAAGTTTGTCGGAGTTAACTCCTCCTTTAGTTCGTTAACCCTTTCACCAGGGGTCTCTTTCCCTGGCTATAAATAGCCATGACCCTTTTGCCTTCTTTTTTTTTTCCCTCAGGCCTGTGCGCCGACACCTTGAGGTAAATCTCTCCTTTCCTCAGGCTTCCAGCCTTACCACCTCAAAAATGTGAACGCTCACCAGAGATAGCGTTTTAAAATGCCGGGAACACGCTACACACACACATACACAAACGCACATATATAATATTCACACACACTTTGTCCTTTTGTAACTGTTTCTATGTAACCTGTTATTAATATATATAGTTGTATACATATATTATCGGTCTTGTGTTTTGTCTGTTTTCTTTGCATTCTTTGGACTTAATTAAAGTCCAACTTTCTCGTGTAGTTGGACCGGCTAGCAGGAAAATCTGAACCCACATGTGTTTCTTTTACTTCTACTCAACAACATTACAGCCACGGTCCACTACAAGTTCAATTATTTCAAACTTTGAATTGTCATGACTGATATTAGGAAAAGCGGAGATTTTTAAATTGATTTTTTCTTCGAGATTTGTCGCCTTAGCGAAGATAAAGAATCTTGTCTCCTCTATTTCTCCAAGACTATTTTTATTTTAGTTTTTTTTTTATCTTGCCGTTTATAACCAAAGATGAAATAATTTGGCGGTGGACACGTAATAGTGAAGGATGGAATAAAAAACGATGACAAAAGAAATTTGGTAAATGTTGATACAAACTGAAACAGCGAAAACTGTATTAGTTTCTCTCATTTTATGTACCATGTCTTCTCAGGACGTAGGCGATCATGGCTCTCCACCTCTTCCTCTCTCCCTTGCAGCTCTCAACAAGTTCCTTCCCTCTGTTACCTCCACTAGGCCACGTTCTGTCATCCATTTGTTTAAGTCCGCTAGGTATGTCACACGTTGTTTTCCTTTCTCTCTTTCCCTCTATTCGACCCGTGAGTATCAGATTCTCCAGGCCCTCCTTCCTCATTATGTATCCCAGAAACTTCAGCTGCTTCTTTCTGGTGTTAATTATAAGCGTTTGTTTGCAACCCCTCTAAGACCTCATTATTGCTCAAATGTTCGGTTCATGATATCCTTAGCATCCTTCTGTAGAACCACATCTCCGTCGCCTCAAGTCTCTTCTTCATCTTTGAAGAAATCGTCCAACATTCGCTGCCGTAAAGAAGAACAGATGTCGCAAAATAGCTCCGTATTCTTTTCTTTGTTACCAACGAAATCCTCCTGTCTCGCGATAATCTGCTCAGCTTTTGGAATGCGCCCTTGGCCATCCAAATACGTTTACGGATTTCAGTGTCGCACTTACCGTCCTCTGTCAAAACGCTTCCCAGATATTTAAACTTCTGCATCTGCTTGATTCTAGTGTTCCCAACCTGCAAATTACATTTCAGGCTCATCCTATTTCTGATGACCATGAATTCTGTCTTTTTGTAATTTATGCTTACTCCTTTCTTCTCATTCTCCGTTGCTACATTCTGTAGGAGAATTTGCAATTTCTCTTCCGTGTCTGCTATCAGCATTGTGTCATCTGCGTATCTTATGCTGTTAAGATTGTGGCCACCAGTGCTAAATCCCCGTCAGGTTTCCAATTCTCTCAGAATTGCCGCACTGTATATTATGAACAGGTCGGGTGAGAAGACGCATCCTTGGATTAAGCCTCTTCCCATTTTCGTATATTCACTGAACTTGTTCCCTATGTGTATTCATGCTGTTTACTGCCAGTATAGGTTCCTGATTATTCTGATATCCCTCCCAAATATTTCAAGGTTGCTGAGCAGTTCTAATCTTCTGCCAGACAACGAAAATGGAAACTTTTCACAGCATGACGGTGCACTTTGCCACACATCACGGACAACAAAACGTTTCTAGTGGATGAAGATGGTCAACTTTTGGAAGACTGACCATCACAAAGTCCTGATCTTAATATAATTGAACCATTGTGGTAGGAACTGAAGAAACAAGTGTTCCAACGAAAACGACGCAGTCATCAAGAACTCAGGTGTTACTGCCAGGAAGAATGGAAAAAAACTGCCAATGAGAAAATAGGACCTTCTGCCATTCAATGCCAAATCTGATTGAGACAATTATTCAAGCCAAAGTTAGCAACACTAATTACTAATTCAATACTTTGACATTTTGTATTTTTGGTAAAAATAAAGTCTACATTTTACAAAAGAAAATTCCTTTTAACTTCATAAAAATAAATTTTTGCATGACTTTTTTTCCGCAGCATTATGTTTAAGATGCTCTACCATCCACCACAGAGCATTAGCAATAATTCAGGGAATTGTTTTCAAAGATCATAAAAATATATTAGTTTACTTCAGTTTAATCTTTCTGCTAGACGACGAAGATGGAGACTTTTCACAGCATGATGATGCTCCTTGCGACACATCACCGACAACAAAAATGTTTCTAGTTGATGAAGACGGTGAACTTTTGGAAGACTGGCCAGCATAAAGTCCTGATCTCAACATAACTGACCCATTGTGGTAGGAACTGAAGAAACAAGTGTTCCAACGAAAACCGCGGAATCTTCAAGAGCTTTGGGGTTGCAGCCAGGAAGAATGAGAAAAAACTCGCAATGAGAAAATCTGACAATAGCATGGAATTCTTAAGAAAAATGGAAACGAAAACGACATTTATAATCGGAATGAAACAGCTGAAATATCTAGGATACATATCGAGGAAGGAGGACTGGGAAAATTTGAAACTCAGAAGACATATCAAAGGTAAAAAGGCGATGTCCCGGACCATCTACCTGACGCGCTTAAGCGAATGAATGGCAGAACGGGAAATGGGAGAAATGTCAAAAAGACAAAGATTACTAAGTGCTACAAAAGATAGATAGATTGTGTAGAGCCATGGTTGCCCATGTCCATGTACTGCTGTCATTTTTGGGCGGGAGCTGCCTTGCCCACACTTTCCAATCTTGACAGAGTCCAGAAATGTCTCTGCGTCCTTGTGGGTGACAAATTATTTTCTATCCTCCAAACCGTCTCTCACAGACAGGATGTGTCAAATCGCTCACTGTTCTATCGCTATATCCATGGAAAGTGCTCGGATGAACTGCAGTTCTTGGATCAAACAGTTCAAACCTTCATGGCTGGGTTCTGTTAAAAAGTGGATAAGAACCATAAAAGACATTCCAATTTTTTTTTCGACACGGATGAATATGATTTCGCAATGGAACACCGACACTCTGTTAAGGGGGCGATTTCAAAAAGATCCTTAGACGTTTATCTGGCAAATAGTCATGAAGAATTCGAAAGTGATTCAAAATAAGTTGATAATCAAGGAAGGAATACAGAAAGTAATTTGTTTCTGTATTTAAAAAAAGAAAGTTGAAGAATTTTGAATCATCAAAAGAACGAAAATCAGTCAGACGATTAAAGGTTTTAAGTTAAGAAAATAAAATAAAGTTTGGAAAATAAAATTGTTTCATTAAAAGAATAAATTAATAAAATGGATTTAATAATAGCTGCTTTCATGAATCCTACTGCTTTCCTACTGCCACCGTGAAGCGTGTCCGGTAAATGGAACATTAGCCCAACTGAGAATAAGAAAAACAAATTGATTAAAATTTAATCAACAACGATTTTTCAAATATTAACCTGAATTATTTAGGAAATACAGACAATGTTTCGCGCCTCAAATTAGCAGATAGTGAAACCTTTTGTCCTATCTTTTCTCGTTGAGATTCTGTTTATCATTTTCCCAAGCTACAGTAGAAGTATATAGGTTAATGAAGTGATGACATTCTAAATTTCCGGGAATCAGTTCTATAAAGGCAGCTAACCTTTAGAAATTTATACTGATTATTTTGTTTTCGATCCGAGAATGGAAAAAAAAATCAATTTATAGTATCAAAAAGAATTAAACCACTTTGATAACTTAACAGAAAATATTAATTTATTAAAATATTTCCAGATTGAAATTCTGTTTCCCTCATATTTCTCTTCAGAAGTGTGATGCATTTTGACGCTAGTTTCTTCAGCTGTCTTATGGTTTCTTAGCCACGTTCGAACCGAATCGCTACAGTCCCAAACATATAATGGATGACAAATTTATGACTAGAATGTTTATCACATTTTTTTCACTAAGCGCACGCACGAGCGTAGCGTAACTCATATTTTCTCTAGACCATCGGCTATTAATATATAAGATTATTTTCGGATAATCCAACAACCGGTTCGCTAAAAATTATCATTTCAAGAATCGGTTCGCGCTAACCGGTAAGATGTCACCGCTGGGCTTATGTTAAGTTGCTTAATTGGCATTTTTTGTCTGCTTCTTTTGCCTTCAATAGACGCCGTGAGAGCTAATTCTCCAAGCGCCTTCCTTCCTTCCTTCCTTACTTCCTTCCTTATTTCCTTCCTTCTTATGTGTCGCCAAAATTTCAGCCACTGCTTTCTGATTGTCAACAGTTGTTTCTTTGTGGCCCTATTCTATTTTGTTAATCGGTACCACCACATGCAAGGCAATAAAACCACTAAGACTAAAGGGGGTTACAGGATGTGGAAGAATTGGGAATAGAAACATTAACAATGGGCGGGAAGAGAAAAGAGTAATCAAGAGGACAGCGAATAGCGATTGGCATTGGATTTAAATTTTTGCTGATTAAATTTGGCTAGGAAGCATGGAGAAGGAAAGGAGTTTCACAAGCAAGAAGTGCGAGAAAAGAAACTGTTAGCATAGAACATACGGCTACATCTAGCCAGTCTAGTACTGCGCTTAAATTCAAAAAGTGTAGTTACCATAGCAATGAGCTCATTCGAACAATTGCCATGAAAGTATTTATAGAAAAGACAGGCTACTTTAGGTTGGTGGTGGTAGTGGGGGTAGTGACTGAAGCCGAGCAGACGGATCAGGACCAATAATATTGCTGATTCTTCTTTGGCAACAATATTCTATGCATGGACGAATGGTAGGCTTATAGATATCTAAGATAGATCGTGGAGAGAAAAAAATGTCTCCCACGACAGAGTGAACCAACTTTCTTAGCAGCTGACCTAGCAATGGATTCTATATAGACTTTCGACTTCATGTCAGCTGAGAACGTTAGCCCGAGAAGGTGCAACAAGTCACTTTCCTGGAGGTTAGCATCAGCCATGGGGTCTCTCAGATGATTAATGGAGAGAAGTTTAGTTTTGGAGGTTGTAAAATTAACAAGCCATCTTTCGCCCCTGTTAACAACTGACTTGAGGTCGTTTTGGAGATCGGCTACAATTTTGACCTTGTCGGACTGATCATCTTTACTGTCGAGGCAGGAGTAAATGGTTGTTTCATCAGCGTAGATACAGAGTTTAGAGCTGATGTCATCGGGGAGGTGATTAATGAAAATTCAAAACAGAATAGGACCAAGTATGGAGCCATTGGGGACACCTGCGTTAATCTCTACAAACTGTTCTTTCTTCCTTCCATACTCCGCCCAAGATATTTTCATTATTTGTTGGACAACAAACATCATTTAAATCACTTCAGATCATTTCTTAATCTGTGAGGAAATTAACTACTATATATTTCTATGAGGGAGACTAGACATTATATAACTGTTTAGCACTATTTTCTCTATTTCTAGGCGTATATTTCGATACTTTAATATCTCGCGAAGTTTTTGAAAGGTATATTTCGCTATTGCTATAGGCCTACGAAATTCCGTATCACATTTTCCACCTTCTGTTACTCTACTACCTAAATAGTTTTAATTCTGCACCTGCTTGATGCTGACATCCCAGATAATTAATTTACATCTTGTTCCGTCCTTTTTGCTGACAACCATGCATCCTTTTACAGTTAATGGTTAGTCCTTTCTTCTTGCATTCTTCGATTAATTTTTCTAATAGTTAGTTTCCTTCTGAATCTACCGCCATATTATGCACTCACTCTCACAAACTGTAACGAAAGTTTGCAAACATAGATGGTTGGATCTGTGGATGTTGAACAATAACAAATGTGCTTGAGCAGTCTTCTGCAAGAGGGATTATATAACTCATACCTTTCTCCTGATGTCAGAATAATCAATATATATATATAAAGAGTGCATGAATGTTTTGATTTGTTTAATAATTTTTGACTGAATTTCTGAGATGCAGCCTAGTGGATTAAAATATAGGTTCGTGAATGGCAATGTAATAATAGCCGATAGGTATTGAAGCGTTGGTTTGTGAATTGTCGTGGAATAATAGCCTATTAGTTTGAAGCATTTGTTCGTGAATTTTCGTGGAATAATAGCCTACATTATTAAAGCGTTGGTATGTGAATTGTCGTGGAATAATAGCCTAGGGATTAAAGCATAGGTTCATGAACTATCGTGGAATAATAACCTAGGGGATTAAAGCATTGGTTTGTGAATTGTCGTAGAATAATAGGCAAGGGGATTAAAGAGTTGTTTTGTGAATTGTGGAATAATAGCCTAGTGAATTAAAGCGTTGGTTCGAGAATTTGGTGGCATATTAATTGTGAGTTCAACCCCTGGGCCAAGGAATGTGGAACCAGGGAGTATGGAAACAGGGCAGCCAATAACTGAACAGTAATAAAAATAAGAATAGACAAGATATACCTCGATAAGGGCAGTGGGACGAGAAAAGCTACCCCTGTAGATAAAATAAACGGTTCAGTCCAAAATTTCCTGTAGATTACCCGGATCGACATACACTTGATGAGGGCAGCAGAGGGCAGTGGCCGAAATGTTGTGATAACATTAGTCAACATGTAAATAATCTAAGTGACTATTTATTTAATGTATTCTACCGATGATATCAAGGGGGTTAATTAAAAAGTCGAAGAAATCGTCAACTTTTTTTGTGAAAATGGGATTTGAAATTTCAAAATTTGACAGGAAAGAAAGTTTTTGATATGCAAATGTGTTTAAACGTAATGCCAGGAGAATAACAGTTAGCTAAGGAAGGAGGTTAAAAAGGAAATGCCTTTGTAAAATAACACTCAAACGAGTAACAGACTGGTGTGTTGGCAAGTTTTTGGATGTACCTCAGCTATTCTGTAAGTTAAGAAAAATGTTATCAAGTTAAAATAATTCCTAAACAATAAAAAGTATGAAGGAAAAGAAAGAAGGAAAGAATAAAAAGGAAAAGAAGAAGAAAAATGTTATCAAGTGAAACACAATAATTCCTAACAATAAAAAGTACGAAGAAAGAAAGAAATAAAGAAAAGAAAAGAAAATGTTTTTCGTTAAGAAAATACGACAGAAAAAATGCGGCGAAACCAATAATGAAACAAACAGAAATAATAAATAAACAAGACAAACGCCACTGACTTCAGGAAAAGCATTAAAAAAAAAGCAAAGGTATATGTCTACAGCTGTGAGTGTGTGTACTTATGCGCGTGTGTGTTTGTGTGATTTCATTTACTTCGTGTTCTTGTACATCTGGACATGTGTTCGAGTTAGTATCCGTTTGCAAATTTAGATATTTTAGTATGTATGTTTATGAATGTTAGCGTGTGTGTGTGTGTGTGTGTGTGTGTGTGTGTGTGTGTGTGTGTGTGAAAGGAAAAAGAAATGTTGAAATTATAAAGTGAGAAGAATTGTAAAAATGCTTCTCCCCTTCACCCTCTGCACCGCAGGGTCGGCCATTTTTCCTCCTTACGTGCCAAAGGTGCGAGCCGTTGAAAATTGCAAGTTTGTGACGTCATTAGGACAGACATCATGGCGGCTGATCTCGATCAACGTAGTAAATAAAAAGTCGGTAGAATGCGTGATGCGCAGATTCTGGTGTATATATATATATATATATATATATATATATATATATATATATATATATATGAAAAAAGAAAAAAAGGATTAGGAAGAAAAGAAAAACAGACAGACCGATGGAGAGATATGCAGCACAGTGTCAAATACTGACTAGCCGGTAATATGTTCGGAAATTCAGACATTTACATTCTCGGGCACAAAGTCGTACATAAGTTCGCTTAAAGATAGATAGATAGATAGATAGATAGATAGATAGATAGATAGATAGATAGATAGATAGATAGATAGAATGTTGCTGCAATAAATAGATGGATATATAGACAGAAATTAAAGCAGAGTGTTTATATATATATATATATATATATATATATTATCATTTCATACGAAGCAAGACAATAAAGCCACTAGAACACAAGAAGTTACTGGGTGTTAGAGAATATGAGTAAAAGGAGAGAGAACAATAAAAAAAAGAAAGCATGAAGCCGGAACAGAGTTTCACAAGCGAGAATTGCGACAGAAGAAACTGTTAACATAGAACTTACGGTTGCATCTATCCAGTTTAACTGTGAATTGATGATGATAATAATAAGTGAGTAATAAAGAGGACATTAGATAACGATTGACATTGTATTAAAATTTTTGAAAATTAAAATTAGCTGGGACGTAAGTAGCCGGAAGAGAGTTCCACAAGCGTGAGGTGCGAGAAAAGAAACTGTTATCATAGAAATTCCTGTTAGATTTAGCCAATTATTGCAGCCAATCTAGTACTGCGCTTAAATTCTAGGTATCACAGCGAAGATTTCAGCCGAACAATTACCATGAAGGTATTTATAAAAAAGACCCGGGGAAACTACATTACTGGGGTGGGAGAGTGACTGACGCCGAGATGCCAGGTCAGGATCAATAATATTGCAGATTCTTCTTTGGATTTTATCAAGAATCTCTAGATATACAGTAGATTTGTCGGAGGATATATAAATAGCGCATCATCAATATATCGGAAGTATGTTGATTGTTCGAGAAAAATATTTTGGGAATAGATCAGATTCGAGAAATTCTAACAAGATACATGACATCACTTCATTTAAGGGCGATCCCAGTGGCAATACGATTTTTTGTTTGTAAAAATCATTATCAAACGTGAAATAGAATTGATTGCTGCTGAAACGACAATTTTTTCTTATTTTAGTTACTGGTAGGGAGAACGATGCCATTGATTGTGTTTAGATGCTTTTTAAGGAGATTTAGACACGGTGGAGTAATAGATAGCAGCACGGATTGAAGGGTCGGCAAGCCGGGTTCGAATTCCAGTCGAATCCATTACATCCAATTACGTGCTAATACCCATGGGAAAGGTATGAACCCTCTTCTCACCCACCCAGCTATGGATAAATAGCAGGACAGCCCGGGTTCTATAGCCTTGGATACCAAACTGGTCTACCGCAGAAAGAAATGGCAACATACTGCGGGAAAAAAATCTGCCTCGTCAGTCACGTATTGAAAGATACATGATCGCCTAAGCGTCTATCACGCATGGCACATAACTGACTGAGGCATTTTTCAACTGGGTGTAAATGGATTCTATATTTAGAGCAAGTGTGTGTTAGTCATGTTCATTTCACTTAGGCTACCGGAGTTCATTATATGAGATGAACTGATTGTTCCAAAGGGAGGGGGGGGCTAGAATTTTTGTTATGGATTTTGCTAGTATATGAGGGACGCTGTCTATTCCTGAGATGATGGGAAATACTTAATATCAACAATGACCTGAAACACCTGGAATGAATTGTTACAAAATACGGTATTGGCGTACCTCGCACAAAGTCCTGACCTAAACCCCACTGAAAATTTATGGGCATACGCTATTGTAAATATTTCTAAAAAAGTTGAATTTCACATAAACGTAAGTATATTCGGAATATTTTACCTCCATCGGTTGGCTAATACCAATTTCACTCAAATCTAAACAAAAAAAACATCTGTATAACCTCCTCCTCATATACGTAAATATATAATATATATACATAAAAATTCTATGCATAGCTATAATATATACATAAAAATATAGACCTATATATAACTAGCTGATGTACCCGCCTACATCGGGTAAGAGGTCAAAACTTAGATCACCTATGGTTTTAATGACAATAAAACGGTTCGTTGTAACCGATGGTGAGCCGATAATTTTAGAGTCAACCTATGCTAATAGGTATATAGTGTTAAAAGTACCTAGGATGTTTGCGAAAAATCATTACTTGTAAACACTGATGGAGTCTTCAAACAATATGTTTTCAATACATTTTTCTGCGTCGGTCAAAACAAATCTACATTATAAACTGCCGTTACAGAAAATTAATCGTTCAGAAGTTATACTGTAGCCCCATATACACAACCATGATTTGTCTTAGGAAATTGGTTACTCATTAGCTTCTCCACAGTAACTCTATTGAGACACTGCCTTTATTTAGTTGGATGTTGACTCATTAACTGATCTTACGCCCTTGAAATGGTCTTATTTTTCATCTTACAGGGTTGCTAACCACCTTCAGAGTCTGCACAAGAGTCATGGAAACGGTTCAGTTGCTGACCATTCGACAAAAAAGTATTTGATCTATATCACGTTGAAACACCAGTTCACGTTCATTCATCGAAGTTGAGTAACATCGAACCTAATCAGTAACCAGATGGGTGACCACTTGGGGATACTAGGTGCTGTACATTTGGATCTGCGTTGGATAGCGGCTCAAAATGAGGAACTGGGGAGCCGAATTCGAATTTCAGTCGACTTACATAGACTTACACTCAAACACCTTTCGGAAAGTTATGAATCCATCCCTTCTCTCCCAAGCAGAACAAACTGGGCTTTATGTCTTCGGTTTGCGACGTCTACCACAGAAATAAATGGCATCTTACTGCTGGATATCCGCATAGTTAGCCATGAATCGAAAGAGTCATGATCTCTTCACCGTGTATCACGTATGTCTTCTAAATGATTCTTTTAATCTTAAAGAATTTTAGAGTAGAATTCTCCCATACAGTGACTAGCGATTCAATACGGTGAAGGAAAACAACACAAACAAAAAGCACACTTTTCTTTATTTCTAATGCATTTCCATTGTCTTTAATACTTTGCTTAACTTTTAGAAGGCTCCTTTTGCTATTCCAATGCTACTTCGGATTTCGGTGTCATATTCTCTGTTAAAACACTTCCCAGATATTTAAATTTTCATACTTGCTTGATTTCGACATGTTCAATTCATAGCTCACATTCAGGGTCGTTCTTGCAAATGGCCATTAATTGAATAAAAGGTTTAGATCAAAATTCCAAGAAGGTTATCGATTAGTACAACAGGCACCCGAAAAAAAGCCTAATTAGTACAACGACCAAAAGGTTTTGAGTATAACAACAAATATATGTATATTAATCCGGATAGGCATATGAAAAAAATTATCTCGATAATTCCGACATAAATTTTTAATATCTAAACATTCTGGTTTCATGAATTGATTGATTCATTCATTTTTTACGGCTTATCAACCCTTTGCTGATTATTCAAAGACAGATAATATTTTAAAGATTGTAAGAACATTTTTTTAGATAATAATGGTTTAGTGATACAAGCCATGCTAATTAACCCATTGTTGTGGAGAGGAAGTGGATTCATGCCTTTGGTATTTGTGCGTAATTGAATATAACGAACCGCGGAGCACCTCTAAGCGATGTAATGGTTAGCGAGCTAGTACAATTACGAACTGAGTAGCGAGTTCGATCCTCACTGTGTGCCCACACTTTCGGCTTTGTGTCACATCTAAACTACGCCTAGAAAACTATTTGGGCATTTCCATGTGGTGTAATGGTTAACAAGCTTGTCTTGATATATCACTTACGACTGAATAGCGAGTCCGATCCGTATTGGGTGCCCCATACTTTCGGCTTTGTGCCACATCTAAGCTCCGCTTAGAAAATAACGGCCCTAATTGGAACTCAACTCTCTGGTTTCATGAAATATAACATTTAGATTAATTTTTTAGTGACTGAACATAGTTCCAAAATTTAGCAAAAATCAGTATAAATGGATCAGTCATAAACTGTATTCTAAAACAAAGTGTGAGCGAATATTGTATTTTAGTCTTTTCTGTGTATATTATTGATAAAAATAAAATAACCAAAATTAACTCTCGTATGGTATATAAAAAAATGCCTTAAAAGATGCTCCACTAGTGGAACAGTGCTCACAAAAATGTTAACCTAGAGAATTGTTATCTTCAGACATAATTCTTTATATTTTACCCCCGCTCCGTTAATCATGTCGGACATTTTCACGGCATTTGTCTCATGGGATTTTTAAACATCACCATCTAAAACATAACCCTTAATTTTCTGAATTTCTGGAATGAGGAGTTACCAATAGTCCGAATATAAATAGTACAAATATTATTTTGAATGTTCTGATTTTTATCGGATGAATAGAAATTTTTAAAAATAAACCAAAACAAACGGCTTTGATTTGCTTTGTTTTGCAGTATAGCAATCTTAGTAGATTATTTAATGCCGACAAGATCTTTATTGCTGGTAATATGTTTTTCAAAAAAAGTATTTCTGGTAATATTTTTTTTTTTAAAAATATATTGCTGGTAATTTTTTTTTTTTTTTCAGAAATTTATTGCTGGTAATAATTTTTACAAAAATTATTGCTGGTGATTTTTTCTTTTCAAAAATGTATTGCTGGCAATATTTTTTTTCCAAAATAGTATTGCTGGTAATAATGTATTGCTGATTTTTTCTTCAAAAATTCATTGCTGTAATAATGTTCTACAACAATGTATTGCTGGTAATAAAACCTACTTTTATAATTAGCTGGGACCCTTACAGATGCTACCACGCTGGGTCAGGGTGGACCTGGAAACACCAGCAATTAAGAGGTGGTTCTACAATCCTCAAAAAACCTCCTGATCAGAGGCCTTGCTGTCAGATGTAGTTTATCATCTTACCCAGGACGCGGTTTTATCTTAAAAAATTGACTTAAAAAGCTGTTAACATTTTGGCATTTGCGTTATCTAATTTTAAACAACCGTTGGGGTTTACCCATACAACGTTGATTTTCTTCCGCGTTTTTACTTGGCTTTAAGACGAAGCGTAAGCACATATTATATTTTATTTTTTTCTGTAACTATTATCGATAAAAATATAATAATCAAAATTAATGCTCGTCTGGTAATAAAAAGTGTCTTAAAATATGTTCTACTAGTGGAATGGTTTCCACTAAAATATTTATTTAAATTAAATTTTCCAAA